ACGAATCAGCCGTTAACGAATCAGCCGTTAACGAATCAGCCGTTAACGAATCAGCCGTTAACGAATCAGCCGTTAACGAATCAGCCGTTAACGAATCAGCCGTTAACGAATCAGCCGTTAACGAATCAGCCGTTAACGAATCAGCCGTTAACGAATCAGCCGTTAACGAATCAGCCGTTAACGAATCAGCCGTTAACGAATCAGCCGTTAACGAATCAGCCGTTAACGAATCAGCCGTTAACGAATCAGCCGTTAACGAATCAGCCGTTAACGAATCAGCCGTTAACGAATCAGCCGTTAACGAATCAGCCGTTAACGAATCAGCCGTTAACGAATCAGCCGTTAACGAATCAGCCGTTAACGAATCAGCCGTTAGCTATTAACGGCTAGCTATTAACGGCTAGCTATTAACGGCTAGCTATTAACGGCTAGCTATTAACGGCTAGCTATTAACAGCTAGCCATTAACAGCTAGCCATTAACAGCTAGCCATAACACGTTTATAACAAACAAACTTTTGTTTGTTATAAACATTATTATATTATAAACAACATGTTCTACATGTTAAATGTTATAAATTTTATTTCACTTGTCGTGATTAGTTTGCTGATTTGTTTGCTGATTTGCGTTTTGCACAAATATTGGGTTGGCGAATTGAAAACTGCAGGCTATTGTCAGATGTGACAGTTTGAGCACTTTCTTCAAAAGAAACCCATTTTGGTGTCAATGGGAAAGTTGTAAGTTGTAGAGAATCAAAAATGAAGCTTATAGCCAAATTTTCAGTGCGATTGAAAAACTGGCTTTCAAGAAATGCGAAATTTACGAATTTTCACAAAATTTCACAAAACTTGCATTTCACAACAAATTTTAAGCGAATCTACTAAGTGTATCTTTTTGGAAATTTCGCTATAAGCCTAATTTTTGATTCTCTACAACTTTTCTATTGACACCAAAATGGGTTTCTTTTGAAGAAAATGCTCAAATGCTCAAATGCTCAAACTGGGACCTCTCCAGTCCTTCATTTTTGAGTCTCCAGTTTTCAATTCACCAACCCAATAGTTTGAAATTAAAAATTCATTTGAAACGAGCCATGTTCGCAGAAGGCGATTAAAAATTGTACAGGGCTAGCGAAAAAAATTTCATTCGTAATCGGCTAGTCGTTCGGATCTTTAATCGATCGGCTAGTCGTTAACGAATGATTCGTTAACGGGCTGAATTTCGTAAACGGCTCGATATGCATATTAAAGATCGATTAAAGATTGATTAAAGATTGATTAAAGATCGATTTCAGCTCGATATCTCTTTTTGATTTGCTCGACGCAATACTCGATTGGTGGAGCCAAGAAACGCGGCTCAAGTAGGTAGTCGAGAATTCGCGGTGGCACATGCCGAGCTCTCGATAATGAGACGACGTCGTGGGTGAGACGGAGCTGGAAATGAGGTTGGAATTGGAGTTGCACAGTACTGTAGAGTACGATACTGTACACTGTACTGTACATGTACTGTGCACTGTACTGTACAGACTGTGCTGTACTGTACAAACTGTAGACTTGTAACGAAAATATCTATCGATTAGCTTTCGCCGTCGGCAGCTTAAGGTTTTTCTTATTTTTGCGCCAGCGCCAACGCTTCTATTTCGACTAGTTTGACTATCATTTGATGCAGAATTGAATTGCGCATCGAATGAGACCAAAATCAACTTAAAACCCTAACATCTACGCAAAGTTATGAGGCAAAAGGTTAAGCTCTGCCCATTATAAGCGGGGCTTAACCTTTTGCCTCATAACTTTGCGTAGATATTAGATTTTGAGTTGATTTTGGTGTCATTCGATGCGCAATTCAATTCTGCATCAAATAATAGTCAAACTAGTCAAAATAGAAGCGTTGGTGCTGAGAGAAACACGAAAAACAAATTGCCAACAGCAAAAAGGACCTATATTTTCGTGATAAGTCTATTCAGCATTGTGCAAAGATACGATGCTGTACTATGTGCAAAGTATAGCTGCTTTGGGTCTGCTTTGCTTTGGATCTTTAGGTCTAAGTTTTACCTCCAATCGACACAAATAGGAGAGCGATTGTGGGAAAAGATCGAAACGGGACAACGGCATTGTGATTCTGAAAGGTGATTGTGATCATGGCTCTCCTATTCATCTTGCTCATTGAACGGCTTAGCTATGGCATTCTCCAGAGATCTACCCGGAGCACTAGTTAGAGAGTAATCCAGCTACAATAGCCCAGTAACCAGCTACAGTAACCAGCTACAGTAACCAGCTACTAGCCAGCTACTAGCCAGCTACAGTAACCAGCTACTAGCCAGCTACAGTAACCAGCTACTAGCCAGCTACTAGCCAGCTACTAGCCAGCTACTAGCCAGCTACTAGCCAGCTACTAGCCAGCTACAGTAACCAGCTACTAGCCAGCTACAGTAGCCAGCTACAGTAACCAGCTACTAGCCAGCTACAGTAACCAGCTACAGTAACCAGCTACTAGCCAGCTACAGTAACCAGCTACTAGCCAGTTACAGTAACCAGCTACTAACCAGCTACTAGCCAGCTACAGTCACCAGCTACTAACCAGCTACCGACACTTCCAGACTCACGTGCACAGCTCGGCCTGGTCAGCCTCTCCTCTACGGTGCATCAAAAGATTCGCCTCGCCGCTTTGTGATTCCTAAAGTGGAGAAAATAGTTATCTAGCTACAGTAATCTAGCTACAGTACCCAGCTACAGTACCCAGCTACAGCTAGCTAACAAATATCCAACCCGAATCGCTTTCTCCAAAATCTTTGTGATGTCCGGTCCGCTTTTTGCGTTCCAATAAAGCAAACTGCGGCTGTGCAACACTTTTTCTAAAAGCTTTTTTGAATAATTTTGGCTTGAGCAGTTGATTAGAGGTAGATCTAGAGAACTAGAGAATTTTTTTGATATCTGACAAACCTCGACTCCTCCAGGAAACGGTGAAAATGTGGGAATCGTTTCTCGAGTCTCGCAACAGATATGTTCCCTCTGGACACGGGAGAAGCAACGACTCAGCTTCTGACCACGTGATATCGCCCCAATACCTGGAAGGAGTACGGTAGCGTTGGAGCTGTTGTAGCTGGCTCTCGGCCCTGGCTTCAGGCCCGGCTCTAGGCCCTGACTCCAAGCCCGGCTCTAGGCCCTGGCTCTAACTCCAGCTCTAACTCCAGCTCTAACTCCAGCTCTAACTCCAGCTCTAACTCCAGCTCTAACTCCAGCTCTAACCCTACCCTAATCTCTAAAATTTCAAACTAAGCTTTTGATCTCTATTCTTTCAAATTATTGTAGTGTGACATCCAGATAAACAAGCTCTTTCGTAAAATTGGCAAAATCCAAACGAAATCCGGAAAAATTGACCTCTTCTCGGAAATTTTCGAGAGCAGTCGAATTTTCCTTTAAAAACAAACCGATTTTTAGAATTTAAAGTAATTTTTGGCTAAGCTGGATGTCACAAGATTTAATTTTTCCGTTTTTAAAAGTCAGAGATGGTTTTTGAGAGTTTGCACCTATGGTGCAGTGGGTAGCGCGCTCGGCTCTGGATCTAGAGGTGGCCGGTTTGAGTCCGGCCCGGCCCCACGGAACGTTAGAGTGCTAAAATTTGTTCAGATTTGAAAAGAAGCAAAAAAAGGTGGAAGTCGTTGGCGGAGGTGGGAGTCGAACCAGCGACCTCTGAGCGGCAGAGCGCGACCACTACCACTGCGCCATTTCGGTTCTTAAGCTTTTCAGCTTTAGTTTATCAAAATTAGCATAGTGTGACATCCAGAAAGCTCAATTCTAGCAAAATCTTTGGTAAAAACTCTTCAAATTCGGAAGAAATCGCGCTGATCTCGTTTAAACTTTTCAAAGTGAGATTTTGATCTTTATTCTTTCAAATTCTTATAGTGTGACATCCAGCTAAACAGCTGATATTCTAAAGTTTTCGAAATGCGAAAGAAATCGAGAAAAATCGAGTTGAACTTGTTGGGGAGCTAATTGGCTTGGTTTAGCTTTGTCGCGGAGTTGATTCCTTGCTCTTTTTGCTCTTGCTGGGTCTCAAGCTTACCATGGGCATCTCTTGAGTATCTTGATATGTTCAGAGAAGCAATCAGTGCCTCGTGGAGTGCCTTGGTCAGTCTCATGGAAGTGAGGGTTTTCCTGAACGAAGGTTTGTTAGGTTGGATGTACTAAGTACAGCTGTGGGATAGTACACTTAGTATAGTACTGTAGCTATAGCTGTAGCTGTAGCTGTAGCATCGTACAGCATTGTACAGCATTGTACAGCATTGTACAGCATTGTACAGCATTGTACAGTCCCGTACAGTCCCGTACAGTCCCGTACAGCCTGGTACAGCCTCGTACAGCCTCGTACAGCCTCGTACAGCCTGGTACAGTCCCGTACAGTCCCGTACAGCCTCGTACAGCCTTGTACAGCATTGTACAGCCCCGTACTCCTTCTTTAAACTCACCATATAACGATTTCCATTTGTCGGCAAGTTACGAAATGTTTTCGGCGACTCATTTGATGTGGACGGTTGTTGATCGTCCATTTTATCGAAGCCAGGGTACTGTAGTCGTACTAGAGACTTCTAGAGGCTTCTAGAGGCTTCTAGAGACTTCTAGAGACTTCTAGAGGCTTCTAGAGGCTTGTATAGGCTTCTAGAGGCTTCTAGAGGCTTCTAGAGGCTTCTAGAGACTTCTAGAGGCTTCTAGAGACTTCTAGAGGCTTCTAGAGACTTCTAGAGGCTTCTAGAGGCTTGTATTACTGTAGCCAAGGATACTGTAGCCTTGTAGCTTTACAGTAAGGCTACAGCAAGGCTACAGTCTCCTTTGAAAGTACTGTAATAGACAAAAAGTAAGTAAAAAAGGTGGAAACCCGAAAAATTCGAAAACTCAATGAAACAGCTGAACAATTTATTCAAAAATAGCAAATCAAAACTGTCTATTTAAAAAGAGATCAACAGCAAAACAACCGCAAAAAGGATTCTTTCATTCTTTCCGTTTCTCACATCGATCCCAACCCTGACGATCCACCTTGTTGATTCGTGACATCCACGGAAATCTTTGGCACCAATCCTCTGCCCATCGAAGCGCTCAAAGTATCCTTTTCGTCAATGTTCTCCTCATCCTAGAATTGCAAATTATCGAACAATAGTTTACTGGAAGAATTGTTGATCAATCTAGAGCTCCAGGAAGAATTGCCGATCAATCTAGAGCTAGAGGAAGGATTGCTGATCAATCTAGAGCTAGAGGAAGGATTCTTGATCAATCTAGAGCTCTAAGAACCATTCCTGATCAATCTAGAGCTCCAAGAACTCTTCCTGATCAATCTAGAGCTCTAAGAACCATTCCTGATCAATCTAGAGCTCCAAGAACTCTTCCTGATCAATCTAGAGCTCCAAGAACCATTCCTGATCAATCTAGAGCTCCAAGAACTCTTCCTGATCAATCTAGAGCTCCAAGAACCATTCCTGATCAATCTAGAGCTCCAAGAACAAATCTCTTACCTCGTTTGTCGTCTTCACAATGTACTTTAGCTTTTCCCTCATCGCTGGATGCATTTTCGTAAACGTTTCCTCGAAGCCAGCTCTAGAAATTTCATCATTTTCAATAGAAGCCAATAAATAGCCAATAGCCTCAACAGAAGCCAATACTCTTTCCAGTCCAAACACATTAAACGACTCTTTACTACTCATTAAACTCCTCTTCCATTCACTAAAAAGCTTTCGAAGCAGCTAAAGGGTTGTTTTGTGCAAGAGTGCCCGTGCTTTAAAGTATTGCCTTGTCTCGCGTTTGCGAAGCGTTCTGCAGAAAAAACGAAAAGCGGTTTCGAGATCCCGACGGTCGACTTTATAAAATGAATTTGTGATCTCGAATCAGAAAGGTCAGCTCGACTTGCGTGCCTTTCCCTTGCGTAATTCTGAATCCTCAGCTCGTACTAGTATCAAATTGAAAGAGTACTCGTGCTCTAGTGTTAAAATTCTCTTCAATTCCCTCCAACTCCCTCCAACTCCCTCCAATTCCCTCCAATTCCCTTAAAACTTACTCAGTTTTGACAAAATCTCCGACGTATAAATATTTGAAATGATAGAAGAGATCACAAATCGTGTCCTCGTATTCGAATTGTGCTTTCACATTTGCTGACACCTCGCCAACGAGTCGATAGATGAACGAGATCGTGTTTAGGCACTGGAAACACATGGGAAATCGATTTCGAGGAAAGTACTTTAAAAGAAGCAGTACTAGCAGTACAGTACAGTACAGCAGTAGAGCAGTACAGCAATACAGTACAGTACAGTACAGCACAGTACAGCAGTACAGCAGTACAGCAGTACATCAGTACAGCAGTACAGCAGACAGCAGTACAGCAGTAGAGCAGTACAGCACAGCAGTACAGCAGTGCAGTACAGTACGCTACCATACAGTACAGTAGGCTACAGTACGCTACAGTACAGTAGGCTACAGTATGCTACAGTACGCTACCATACAGTACAGCACGCTACCATATAGTACAGTATGCTACAGTACGCTACCATACAGTACAGTACCTACAAAACGCTACAGTACTCCTTTCAGTAAAGTTTTTTTAAAAGTTCAAAAATAAAAAGCTGATTTCTGTAAAATCTTGTGTGCATTCCAGCTAAGCGATTCGCGAAAAAAAGAAGAAATTCTAGAAAAAGGAGAACGAGAAATCGGCTCGTAAAGATTTTTTGAGAGACTACGCGCTAAAATCTCCGTAAAATCTCCGTAAATCATCGAATTTCTGCACTCTACCTCTTTCGGGCAATGCGCATGGCATCGTTGCAGCGTTGGCACCAACAAGCGCAGCATTAGAATCAACTCTGAAGGGGGGGGGTTTAGATGAAAGTCAATCAATTTCCCCTCAAATTCACCTCTTTCATACATTTTCCCGACTCGTCCATTCTCGAAAAGCTCCTTCTCCAAAAGCGATAACATTTTCAGGAATGTTACCTAGAATTTTGAATTGAATTGAATTGAATAGAATTTTGGATTTGGGTTGAGCCTATTGAGCTTGATTGATGATTGAGCGCTTTCTCGTTGCTTCTCGTTGCTTTTAAGCGCTTTAAGTGCTTTAATTAACGCTTTAAGCGCTTTAATTAACGCTTTAAGCCCCAGTTTAAGCCCCAAATCAACCCGTTAACTGACCAAATTCGATTGAAACCAATAGGCGTGCGATAAAGCGACAACAGCCGTCGCTCGGGTACATTTGATGAAAAGACAATCCTCCTCGAAATAGCTGAAGCCGACTTGTTGCGGTGAGAGATCTGGAAAGTGGCTCGGTTGGGTTAGATTCCGGAAGTGACTCAGAAAAAGAACAGGATCTGAGTTGGAGATCAGGGGATCTCATAGGCCTATTAGGGACAGGTTTGGACAGCCCTACAGTCTTAGGGCTTAGGGCTGTCCTGATATTGGCTTTAGGGCTCTAGAAGCTCTACAAGCTCAGGCTCAGGCTTCAGGCTCAGGCTACAAGCTCAGGCTCAGGCTCTGGCTCTACAAGATCCAGGGGCTCTACAGACTCTAGAGGCCCTAGAGGCTCTACAAGCTCGGGCTAAGGCTCAGGCTCAGGCCCTACAGGGTCTAGAGGCCCTAAAGGCTCTACAAGCTCGGGCTAAGGCCCAGGCTCAGGCCCTAGAGGCCCTAGAGGCCCTAGAGGCTCTACAAGCTCGGGCTAAGGCTCAGGCTCAGGCCCTAGAGGCCCTAGAGGCTCTAGAGACTCTACAAGCTCGGGCTAAGGCTCAGGCTCAGGCCCTAGAGGCCCTAGAGGCTCTAGAGACTCTACAAGCTCGGGCTAAGGCTCAGGCTCAGGCCCTAGAGGCCCTAGAGGCCCCAGAGACTCTACACAAAGCTCGGGCTAAGGCCCAGGCTCAGGCCCTAGAGGCCCTAGAGGCTCTAGAGACTCTACAAGCTCGGGCTAAGGCTCAGGCTCAGGCCCTACAGGGTCTAGAGGCCCTAGAGGCTCTACAAGCTCGGGCTCAGGCTCAGGCCCTACAGGCTCTACAGGCTCTAGAAGCTCTACAAGCTTAGGCTCAGGCTCTACAGGCCCTAGAGGCCCTACAGGCCGTAGATCATTGGATGAACTGTCTAATTCCCTTTCAAGCCAACCTTTGACTTTCTCTAACAACTATAAACTATAAACAAACCCTCTAAATGACCATCATCGAATAACGCGAGCACTTCGTTCGCCAGCCTTTGCCCATAAATTGGTGGCAACGAGTTGAGAATCAACGAGAGAGCGTTCAGAATCTGATGTGGACGTTTCAATTTCATCGTGCACAGCACGGAGATCATTGCTTGAATCCATTTCTAAATTTGGAAGATTTTTTGGAAGTCGGGCAACGATCGTAACAATGGGTAACGATGCTTTATTTCAAGCAGCTAAAAGTTCGAGAAAACTAGGCCTCTAGAGGCTTCTATAGGCCTCTATAGGCCTCTATGGGCCTCTATAGGCCTCTATAGGCCTCTATAGGCCTCTATAAGCCTCTATAGGCTTCTATAGGCCTCCATAGGCCTCTATAAGCCTCCTATAGGCCTCTATAGGCCTCTATAGACCTCTATAGGCCTCTATAGGCCTCTATAGGCTTCTATAAGCCTCTATAGGCCTCCATAGGCCTCTATAAGCCTCCGTAGGCTTCTATAGGCCTCTATAGGCCTCTATAGACCTCTATAGGCCTCCATAAGCCTCTATAGACCTCTATACGGATCTATAAGCTTCTATAGACCTCTATAGGCCTCCATAAGCCTCTATAGACCTCTATAAGCCTCTATAGGCTTCTATAGACTTCTATAGGCCTCTGTAGGCCTCTATAGGCCTCTATAGACTAATAAATCTTACGTCAGGTAAATGTGGAGAAGCCATCAGCTCGATACAAGCTAAAGAAAGCGCGTGCACTCCGGGCGACAACTCAGCGAAGCGCCAATCTTTCGCCACGAAATCAGGAGGTCTGAAATTTTGTTCCCTGATTACTGTAGCTACAGATTACTGTGGCTACAGTAATCCTTTAGGAAACTAGAGCTCTACTGTAGCTCCTATAGTCTAATCACTTCTCCAAACCTTAGCACGAATTCAGTGGCATCGGCAAAGCGTTGAGCCAACTCGAGGACGATTGCCTAAACATTTTCAGCTTTAAGCCTAAGCTTTCTAAATGTTTATTTCTACCGTAATCTTTTCTCTATTTCTGTCTAGCTATCGGCTACTGTAGGCTAGAGGTTTAAAAGGATTTTGGAAAAGTCTCAATGGTGGAGAGCTTGTGGAGAGCTTGTCCCTAGCTTGTCCATGTCTCTAGCTTGTCCTTGGCTGGCTGGCTGGCTTGGCTGGCTTGGCTGGCTGGTGGCTGGCTGGTGGCTGGTGGTGGCTTGGCTGGCTGGTGGCTGGTTGGCTGGCTGGCTGGCTGGCTGGCTGGCTGGCTGGCTGGCTGGTCTTGGCTGGCTGGCTGGCTGGCTTGGCTGGCTTGGCTGGCTGGCTGGCTGGTGGCTGGCTGGTTGGCTTGGCTGGCTGGCTTGGCTGGCTGGCTGGCTGGCTGGCTGGCTTGGCTTTCAAGTGTAGCTGATCTCGAACCTTCTTGATATTAGCTTTGGTGACATCTTGTCGCTTTACCACCACGTCCTCCCAATTGAGCTAGACTGATTAGAGCCGATCTGATAGGTCCGACCAATCTATAGGCTGGCTGGATAGCTGGCCGATCCAATCCAATCCAATCCAATAGGTCCCACCAATCGTCCAGCACGATCAGAATTTCTTCCTAACTCTTGAAAGCGTTTGATCGCGTTGTAAAGAAATTGTTTGCCTCTCATCAATCACACAGATCTCCATCGTCAAAAAAAGGAGATTTGTAGAGCGATCTAGTGCCCGTAAAACTCGCCAACTCTATATCCATCTACAGTAATCTAGCTACAGTAGCCAGCTACAGTAATCTATCTACAGTAAACCGGATTACTTTGATACAGTCTTTTAGCCGATAATTTTGAAATTTTCAAACCATTTTACTTGACTTACCTGCAACGGTGCATTTTGGTGATTCGATTGTGTAAACGAGGCGGTGAACGGTTGATGGGGTTCGTGCTCTAGAAGGTGAATGGTTTCTAAAATGTGCTCCAGCTATAGTATCAGACTTTTCAGACTAGAGTTTGCCCGTTGCTTGCTTGCTAGCTAGCCTCTAAAGCTTGTTAGCTCAAGAGCCAGAAGCCAGGAGTCGAACCCGGATTGTGTTTGTTTTGTAGCTGGCTGTTGGCGCCGTAGCTGGCTGTTGGCGCCGTAGCTGGCTGTTGGCGCCCTAGCTCGCTGTTGGCGCCGTAGCTCGCTGTTGGCGCCGTAGCTCGCTGTTGGCGCCGTAGCTCGCTGTTGGCGCCCTAGCTCGCTGTTGGCGCGCTTCCAACTGCGCCAAATCGACAAAAATCGTTTCCCAGTAAAGCAAAGCAAAAACAAAGCAAAAACAAGACAAAGAAAGCGATCTTCAGCCAAAAAAACCCGATTAAACAGGTTTTTTCGGCTATTTTAATATAAAAAGTACAAGAAAATAAACCTCTGAAAATCGCTGTGACCAAATCTTTTGCCCTCGGCGGTGGCACGATCTCGTGCAGACAAAAGAGCGTATTGTAGACGAAAGTGATCGGGTAAGCTGAAAGATTTTCATTTGATCCATTTGATTTTACTCTTTGAAGACAGCGCAACAAATTTAAAGCCTAAAGAGTGCGCTAAAATTCGCCTCAACAAAGTCTGACGCGCTTTCAACGACAATAACTCGTTGATTTAAGCTTTATTTATCATTTTTTATCATTTTTTCATCTTTTTACCATATTTGGAATATAATTTGAAACTTTTTATGGAAAATGTCTTTTCTAGAATCGCTGGAAAATCTTTCCCATCGAAAATCGATCATCGAATTGCACAAGCGAGGCGCCCGAGGATTCACGGGCGTCTTAAAGTCGACAGAAGTGTCATTTTGGGCACTATTCAACGCTACGAAGCTACGGAAAGAATTGCTGATCAATCAAGAGCTACAGGAGCTATTCGATCAAGAGATCGATCAAGAGCTACAGGAATTGGCCTGAATCGGTACCAACAGGCCCGAACAGGCCTGAATCGATCCGGACAGGTCCGACCAGGTCCGAACCGGCTCGAACAGGTCTGAATCGGTCCGAACAGGTCCAAATCGGCCCGAAAAGGCTCGAACAGGCCCAAATCGGCCCGAACAGGTCCGAACCGGCTCGAACAGGTCCGAACCGGCTCGAACAGGTCCGAATTGACCCGAGATGGCCCGGAATCAGCCCGAATAGGCTTGAACAGGCCCAAATCAACCCGAATCGACCCAGACCGGCCCCAACAGGTCCGAACAGGCCCAAATCGACCCGAATTGACCTGAATCGACCCGAACTGGCCCGAATCAGCCCGAACAGGCCCATAATCGACCTGTATACATTTCGGACTTGTATTCCGTGTTGTAAAAGCTTTCTTGTAAATAGCATCGATGCAGGCTATAACAGAAAATACCTAAAGATTTATCGGTTAACCTAAAAAGTCAAAGATTAAAAATAAAGTCAAAGAGTCGTAAGCTTAAAGATTCGTTTCCAATTCCAGGAGGACGAGGAGAACATTTTGGAAATCGTTTTTGGACTATCCGAGCAAGATAGCCGAGGTTTACAAAGGCAATAAATCCAAGAAAAGTTCAAGAGTCGATCAAAAAAGAACTTCTGGACTTTATTTCTTTTTTTTTTTTTTTTTTTGATTTCTGAGTGATAGGTTGATTCATGGATAGCCTCCTTGGATATCCATCGAATCAACCATCGTTTATCACCTTCTTGGATAGCCGCCAATAGTCTATAGAGTATCAGATGCTCTATAGAGGCCTATAGCTGATTCTTGGATCGTCAATTCGGAGAAAAGGCTTTCTAATCGAAAAAAAAAAGACTTACGATGAAATTTGTATAATGGAGCCAAATAGTTGAGCAAGCTAGCGAAGACCTCGTCAGCCAATTGACGATTCAACTCGATCGTTCGACTCACGATGAAATCGGCTGTCTAGAATTTGATGAGGAGTGATGGGGGATGATGTGTGTGTGTGTGCGTCTGTGTGTGTTTCCAAACACTTAAGTACAAAGTACAAGGCTCAAAGTACAAGTACAAAGTACAAGGCTCAAAGTACAACGTACAACGTACAAAGTAAAACGCACAAGTACAAAGCCCAAAGTACAGCGTACAACGTACAAAGCCCAAAGTACAAAGTACAAAGTACAAGGCTCAAAGTACAAGGCTCGAAGTATAACGTACAAAGTACAAGGCTCAAATTACAACGTACAAAGTAAAACGCACAAGTACAAAGGACAAAGTACAACGTACAAAGTATAAGGCTGAAAGTACAAAGTACAAGGCTCAAAGTACAAGGTACAAAGTACAAAGCTCAAAGTACAAAGCTCAAAGTACAAAGTACAAAGCCCAAAGTACAAAGCCCAAAGCCCAAATTACAAAGTACAAAGTACAAAGTTCAAAGCCCAAAGCGCAAAGCACAACGTTCAACGTACAAAGCCCAAAGCCCAAAGCACAACGTACAAAGCCCAAAGTACAAAGTACAAAGTACAAGGCTCAAAGTACAAAGTACAAGGCTCAAAGCTCAAAGCCCAAAGCACAACGTACAAAGCCCAAAGCACAAAGCACAACGTACAAAGTACAAAGTACAATATACAAAGTACAATATACAAAGCCCAAAGCCCAAAGCCAAAGCACAAAGCACAACATACAAAGCCCAAAACTCACAGGCAATATCCGATCGATGACACTGCCATAATAGATCGGGAAATGGTGTTCGGGAATGACTTCAGGTATTTGCATTGACATTCCCTTAAAGTTTTGTGGTTTGAGACTTTAGAAAAGAAATAAGCTTTAGAAATAAGCCTTCGAAAGAAACTTTTCCCAAAAAAAAAAACCTGAAAAGTCGCTTGCGCCGATTGCAACATCTCGACATAGGTGAGCTCGGGGAAACGCTGAAAATTCACTCTGACTAAATTGCTAACCGATCAACTGAGTTATCGTCGCTTTCTAGGGTACTGTGGCTCTTAGATCGATCATAAAGCTGATGATCGATCGTACAATTGATGACTAAAGCTGGATCTTAGTGCCTGATCCAGCTATGAGTCTCCTCCAAGCTATGAGTCTCCTCCAAGAGTTACCAGCTCGGCTCAGCTAAGCTCAGCTCAGCTAAGCTCAGAAGCTGGGGCAGAAAGTGGGGCAGAAATTGGGGCACAAAGTGGGGCGGAAAGTGGGCGCAGGGTGGGGGAAAGTGGGGCGTTAACTGGGGCCCGGAATTGGGGCGTTAACCGGGGCCCGGGGAATTGGGGCGGTCAGTGAGGCGGATAAGTGGAACGGATAAGTGGAGCGAACAGTAAGGCGGTAAGTGGACAGTAAGTGGGACAGTAAGGCGGTTCAAGCTCAAGCCTGTAGCCTAGCCTAGCCTATCCTAGCCTATCCTAGCCTATCCTAGCCTAGCCTAGCCTAGCCTAGCCCAGACTTGGACCTAGAAGCTTAGCTAAAACAAAATGGCAACTGGTCGCTCACCTTGTGAAACTCGGCAAGTTTCTGCGCGTAATCGGCTCCACACGGTTGATGAGATGGTGGCATGTTATGGGTGTAGTAGCGGACACGTTCTTGGAATTGAGATCTGGAATCGTTAGGGATTGTATCCAGAAAACGGTACCAATAAAAAACCACTAAGTATCAGGGTTTTTTTAGCAGATTAACTCTGTAAAAACTCTGTAAAAGTCTAAGTCTGAGTCTGAGACTTTTCTAAAAGATGCCCATCGGAAAGAGCTAAAGCAAGCTAGTGTAAAGGGTTACTGTAAAGGGCTATTGTAGAGGGTTACTGTAAAGGGTTATTGCAGAGGGTTACTGTAAAGGGTTACTGTAAAGGGCTACTGTAAATGGTTCCTGTAAAGGGCTACTGTAAAGGACTACTGTAAAGGGTTACTGTAAAGGGCTACTGTAAAGGGTTACAATAAATATAACTAAGCGAATTGTAAGCTACGGTAACGAGGACAAGTTCTAACTCGCAGACTACAGTATTTTTCAAAAACCTTCAAAACTAACCTTGATAAAAGATGACAGATAATGTAAATCCCCCATTTCGAGGCCTCATCAGTGGGCGGATGAACGGCCAGCGATAGAAGAAGACGATCGAGAGTGATGAAGTGGTAATTCCAAATCATGCTCTCAAGTGCACGCACTGTCTGAAATGTATTCTTGTATTCATTACAGTACTTTTAAAGACTACAGTACTCTCTAACAGACTACAGTAACCTCTAACAGTCTACAGTACCTTCTCAGGCTAAGGCTTGCGAGTACTGTAACTGTTCTAGGCGTCTGCAAGCCAGAAAGCCGTCTGCAAGCCAGAAAAATAGGTTCTGTTCGGAATTCAGGCTAGATTCTAAGTCTGAATGCTCGGGCTGAATTCTAGTGAGCCTGGCGCCTAGTGAGCCTGGTGAGCCTAGCTTCTAGTGGCCGCGGGCCGCGGCCCCCCTGCCCCCTGGCTGGGCGCTTCGGCCCTTCTGTGTCTGGGCCTGGGGCCTCCTGGGCCTCGGGCCCGCTTCGGGCCCGGCGCCGGTCACCCTGTCGAACCAGTAGCTAGAATTTCTGTGTTCTTGGGAGAATTGCTAGAGCTTTGTCCATTTTAACTCATGTTTCCTATAGAAATCGACACGGAGAATCGATTGGTGGTGGTTAGAAGTTTCCTGGAGAAGGCTAAGGGTCTAAATAAGTACCTAAAGGTTACTGTAGTAGGCTAGATTTTGAGTCAGAGAATTAGGTTGACCAGGCAAGGCTAGGGTCTGGCATTAGATGTGAGGCTGGCTTTTTTTGGAAGTCGTAAGGAGTCTCGTAAGTCTCGTAAGGAGCAAGTGTATCCATTGCCAGACAATCCGGGGCACTGTTTCCTTTGAAATCCCAATGCTAGCTGGTGCTCAAAGCTAGTTCTCAAGGCCAGCTGGTGCTCAAATCTAGTTCTCAATGCTAGCCGGCTCTCAATGCTAGTTCTCAATGCTAGCCGGTTCATTTACCCACATTCGTCAAGTAGTCTTGTTTCCTTTCATCAGGCGCTTCTTGCAGTTGATAGATGAGATAATCAGCTAACGCATTCGAGCAATTCACCAGTTCGATGGTCGACATTTCGGAGAGGATCCTAAAGGATTTTAAATCATTAGATAAGGTAGATAATTTAGAATAAATTAGTTATCAGCTAGTTTAGATTTCCAATCACTTCCCAACCACTTCCCAATCACTTCCCAATCACTTCCCAAACAATTACCAAACAAAACTTACATATAAAATGAAGGTAAACGATTCACAGGTTCATTCGTGTGTAAAGCACTAAAAACTTCTTTTTTTTAGGCAACTAGATTCAAAAGGTTGATGAGAAGAAAAGCTAAAAAATTGATAGAATTTAACAATTTGAAACTAGTTACTAGATTTATTATTGATTTTGAAAACGAAAAAAACTTACGTAAACGCTACGCAAAGCAGCGTCGCTTGTGGTGGACTGGTGGTTTGCTAAAAAAAAGCAATGTTTTTGAGATGATTTTTGGATATTATCTGATTAAAAGTCGCTTTAATTAGCTTAGATAACAATTCAAGCACTCTTGGACTCTGAAATACTCTAAGATACTCTAAGATTTAGGGGGTGGGCCTAGAGTTACTGTGAAAAGACTCTCAGACGTTCTCTCAGACTCTCAGACGTTCTCTTAGACTCTCAGACGTTCTCCCAGACTCTCCAGACGTTCTCTCAGACTCTCAGACGTTCTCTTAGACTCTCAGACGTTCTCCTAGACTCTCAGACGTTCTCCCAGACTCCCAGACGTTCTCGCAGACTCCCAGACGTTCTCGCAGACTCTCAGACTCTCATCAGAATGTCCTTGTACTTGTCAAAAGTGTATCTTGATTTGTTTTCATAGTTGTGTCCCCTAGTTGTGCCATTTTATGATAGCTTTAGAGATTTATAATTGAGCTAGAGTTAAACTGGCGCTAGAACAAAGCTTTCCAGAACAAAGCCTTCCAGAACAAAGCCTTCCAGAACAAAGCTTGCCAGAAGAAAGCCTTCCAGAAAAAGCTTGCCAGAAGAAAGCCTTCCAGACAAAGCTTTCCAGAACAAAGCTTGCGCCACGCTTGACTTTGACACTGAGCCTGAGCCTGAGCCTGAAGCCTGAGCCCTATCCCTTGCTCTACCTCTGGCTCTACCTCTACCTCTAGTTTAGCTAAAATCAGTCTCATCAATCGATAAGAAAACATCTGAGGATGAATTTCACAAGATTTACGTAAACAAAAAGGCAATATAAACAAAAAGACTTGAATTGACTGAAGAGAGCGCTATTTGGTAAATGGTCAAATCAAAAACTCATTGATAACTTTGTTTTTTTAAACTAATTTTTCAACTAATTCATCATTCAGAAAGCTCAATTTGATTATTAATTTCTTGTTTTTTGTTTTTTGTTTTTTTTTTTAACAGATTATCGCTTATTTTGCTATTTTCTTGGTAATTTCCTAAATTGAGCGTAAAACAAAGAACACTTTTCGTAGGAACTGTTGAATAAATGTCAATTTTACATGTTCAGCATTTGTAGATAGACTATTTGAAAGTTATTAAAGCTTCTTTAAACTTTAAACTCACTGGATTATGCTTATTGCGAAAGTATTGAACAATTGTATCAAGATCCAATCCGCGAATCGTCATACAATCTTGATTGACAGCACTGTTCAAATTGTGCAGATCCTGGAAAGGGAAATGTACTTGTGGCCAGGGGCCAGGGATCAAGGCCGGAGCTGGCTCAGCCTGAGTCCAGGGTCATCTAGAACGAAACCAAGGTCAAACCTGGGAGTTAGACAGCTAGCTTGAAGAGCCTGCTCAGCTCAGCTCAGCACAAAGCCAGCTCAAAGCTAGACCCGATTAGACAGACCTGGCCTTGACCCTAGTTCAGCCTAGACCTAGATCTAGACCTAGATCTAGAACAAGATCAAGGCTAAGACTAGAACAGGGCAGACAAAGTCGGCCTAGTCTTGTCCTGGCCCAGCCAGAGTCGACCAATTGTAAGACCAATTGTAAGAGTCAGCTCAGGGTTCTATCCTAACCAAGACTACTCCAGGGTCGACTCTGGCGTACTGCTGCTGAATCAATTCGTAGATTGTAGTCTACCCCAGCAAAGCCTGAGCCAAATCAGGTCAAATCTTTGGCTGTGCTAAAACCTCACCTTGTTGTAGTCGTCGAATCGTTGCAGGTCGATCGAGGTGTTAATCTGAAAAGGGTAGATTGAAAAGGATAGCTTGAAAAGCTCAGCTCAGCTTTACTGTAACAAGTTTACGTCACTGTACTATAGACAGAGCAATTGGGCCTGCCACTTGTTAGAATTAACAAGGGAAAGACAACAAAAACCTGTTTACCTTTATAACTTTTTTCTGGCTAGACAGATTTTGATGAAACTTTGGCTTTTTCTTAGCTGGTTATCATTTAAAAATTGGGATTGATCAGATTTTCCGACAATCGATTTTAACGTTACCCGTGGATCACCGGTTACAGGACTGGCTCTTTTTCTGATTTCTAGATAAAGGAAACTTTTTGATCCTTTGGTTATACCTTTGTTGGATGTCAGCTTCGAATTTGGTGTGATCAAATTTTTGATAACGCTAATTTTCGAGAAGGCATTTTTAGTCGGTTACAGGACTGGCTCTTTTTCTCATTTCTAGATAAAGGAAACTTTTTGATCTTTTGGCTATACCTTAGTTGGATGTCAGCTTAGAAATTGCTTTGATCAAATTTTTTTTAAAGCTAATTTTCGAGAAGGCATTTTTAGTCGATTACAGGACTGCTTACTTTTCTCGTTCCTTGAAGGAGCAAAGCTTTTGATCTTTTGGCTTTTTCTTAGTTGAATATCATGTAAGAATTGGAATCGATCAGATTTTTCATTTCTTTGTTTTTCTTTTTTTCGGAATAACCTGGAACCGGTTCACGGTTATAAATAAATTTTTTAAAATCAAAATTATAAAATTTTTTTCGATGATGGAGGGCTTCCCATTTCAAAGTAAACCAAGCCCTTGGAATTCCGCAAACCATTGCCTTTCCCAGTAAATGGCTCCTTACAAAAGGCTCCTTATAAAAGCAATTCAGCTCCGAATTCTCTCATTTTCACGAAAACTTCAAAACTCGTATAACTTTTTATAGAAAGCCATTTTGCAAAAACGGAAAGCCGATTCGAAATCAGCGTGAAATTCTGCGTCGAATGGGGTTTATGGCTTATTTCATTCAACCAAATCCTACTGTTGCGTTTTATGATTTTTAACTCTACCTCATTGATCAATGGATGAAAAGAGAGAATTTGCGATTTCGGCATCGGATACGCGATGAGGAGATGCTCGACAACCTCGGGATGGACCTCACCACTGGTACTAGCGATGCCTAAAGGAAAGTTAGCTACAGTAATCCGATATCCGCCAGTTTATGGCTTAGTAATCCGACAGGTCTAGTGACACATGGGGCTGTGACAGTCAACGCCAGTAAGCCTGAGCTCTGAGGTCTACTGTAGCTGACAGTGGAGCTGCTTCAGCTACAGTATCCTGAGACTAGTACCCCAGCCACAGCGCCCTACAGAACTTACCACAAATCTTGAGCATTCGAAACCAATTCACAGCGAACATCCGCACCACTTCGGGGCTAAAAAAGGAAACATTTCTAAACAATCGACAATCCACCGTACCTCACTGGCGGCACTTTATCGCCTGTTGCAGGAGTTGTGTAGCTTTTTGAGGCGCAGAAAACCTTCCAGATGTGCCCCCTTTGCTTCATCAAATCTAAACTTTTTTCGATGAATTTCAGAGCCGAGTGTTGCTAGACACGAAAAGGAAAAACGAACTCGAGCAGTAGATGATCGCCTCGGGCCATGGGATCCACCACATCGTGCGCAACATCAAATGCTCGACAGCAAAGTAGAGAGCGTTCGTCATTGGAGGGATTTGGGTCATCGGCTAGAAAGAGAACGGATACACTAGACGATTTTTACGAGCATAAAGCCCAGTCGAATTTCTATCCTGTATCATCAAAATTATCATAGTAATGCCTATTCTCGATGTCACACTATATTTAGAATCTCAATTTAGAGTACTCTAGCAATGTTTTAGCAAGGCACTCTAACCCCGGTACTTTGAGCTCAAGTAAACGCGCGTTCTCTGGCATACCGCCTCAAAGTTTTCAGCTTAATGCTTATTCTGGATGTCACACTATACTTAGAATCTCGATTTACCGCACTTTAGCAATCAGGATTAGTTAACCAATTCAATTGTGATGAGAGCTAAGCAAACTGATTGGACAATGGAACCGCCGCAGGGTTACCAGTGGTGTGCCAGAGGGCTTTTGGTAGGCATAAAGTCGACGAGCCGCGTTCTTTGTGCTTCGTAAACGCGCACGCGATGTTGCACACACACTGTGCAAGTGCACCAGAGAAAATGCGTTCACAAAAAAAAAAAAAAACTCACCGCATTCCTCAACACTGTCAAGCAGGTGATCGTCAGATTATACCGAATTTGACACGTGATCGGCATCTGATTGAGCCGATAGCTGAGCAGCTCACAGCAGATATTCGTCAGATCACGAGCTGTCTAAAGTCGATTTTTGTATCGTTTAGCTTTTTAAGAGAAAACCCACCTGTGGATCCATTGGAGGTTGAGATTGTTGAACCTAAAATGGAAATTTTTCACTCGCCTTTCTATTGCCACTGTTTTTTGTTGAGTACTGTAACGCTTTAGCTACATTAATCTTTGAGCTAAGCAGGGTTACTGTAGCCAGGTTACTGTAGAGAACTGAAGCTTTAACTAGATTACTGTAACCACTGGAGTTTTTTCGTCAAGCTATCGTCTAGTACAGTAACCGGAGATCGACTGTGGCTACAGTAGTCCGTCTCAAGCAACCATATGACCGACTTGTGGCGTTTGGAAAGCCGTCGAGAGTAGTTGAGGCAGGATTTTTATGTAGAAATATGAAGGAGCTCGCTCGAAATCAATGATCTGACAGAGCATCGCGATTGTTTCTGAAAAAAGACAAAACTCTTAGTTGTCAAATAAAATCTGGTTGATTATCTGATAACGTGAAAGATCTCTCGGATCCTTTTTTGCCTTTAAAATTTATAGGATTGAGATTCGGTGAGCGAGCCGAGCAGTCGACTGACAATGGAAAGATGATCGGGATCCTGTGGGATTTTCCGATGATATTGGGGGTTAGTGAATTGAAAACTGCCGGCTATTGTCATGGAGGACTGGAGATGTGACAGTTTGAGCACTTTCTTCAAAAGAAACCCTTTATGGTTGTAATGGAAAAGTTGTAGAGAATCAAAAATTAAGCTTTTCTCCCAATTTCCAAAAAGATACACTTAACTTAACAAAAAAAAAAACTTAGTAGTTCCGCTTAAAATTTGTGTGTTCTGTGTGCGGCCGCGTAATCGCTCGTCGTCTGGCGCAGGGTTTTTACATAACTCCCTTCCCTCTCGCCTTGCCAAAACAATCTGGCCGGCTCCGAATCCTCAAATTGGACATTCACTTCAAAAATTAAGCTTATCTCCAAATTTTCAGTGCGATTTAAAAGCTGGTTTTCAAGAGATGCCAAATTTACGAATTTTCACAAAACTTGCATTTTAAGCGAAACTACTAAGTGTATCTTTTTGGAAATTTCGCTTATAAGCCGAATTTTTGATTCTCTACAACTTTTCCATTGACACCAAAATGGGTTTCTTTTGAAGAAAGTGCTCAAACTGTCACATCTCCAGTCCTCCATTTTTGAGTGATCTCCAGTCCTCCCACTTGTCTCACACACAAACCAAAATCCTACCACGAAAGAGGAATCCACAAATTGCCTGTAAAATGAGCCACAAGTCGTCAATAATAATGGAAATTATAATGAAAATTATAATGAAAATTATTTGGAATGTTTTATGATGGTTTTATGTTGAATTCAATTTAGTCCAAAGTTGAATTCAAAGTCCAAAGTTGAATTCAAAGTTCAAAGTTGAATTCAAAGTTCAAAATTGAATTCAATTTAGTTCAAAGTCCCGCAGTTTTCAATTCGCCAACCCCAATCTATAGACCATTTGACGCAGAATTTTACGCTGATTCCAATGATGTAAAAAAAAAATTAGCTGCCGAATGGCGCGCAATCATCGCCAAACAGGCATAAAAGCCTCTTCTTTTAAGACGATTTTCTTCAACGCAAACCGGTTTATCGGTAGCCGAGCCAATAATCGAATTTGCAAAAGAGATCTAACCTCAAACTTTAAAAAAAAAAAACGAGCAGCGCCGCAGAGGCCTTTTTTGTTTTCAATTTTCAAAGATTCAGAAACTAAAGAAAATTTGCTACATTTTTAGATATGAGTTGAATAGGTTTTAATAAACTCGGCATCATCTACTACAAGGCAAAAATCTCGTGCCAAATTTCGACGGCCTAAGACACTAAGACGCTAAGGCCTAAGACGGTCTACCTAAGACATAATCAGCACCCAAAAAACCCTATTCAAGTCAGTAACGGCTATCAAGTTCCGGCTAGACTAAGACACGATCCTGGATCAGGATTAAGCCTAGACTTCGTCTAGGCCCCAGTCTGGCTAGATCAAGTCAGGCTAGATCAAGCAGGCTAGATCAAGCCAGGTTAGATCAAGCCAGGTTAGATCAAGCCAAGCTAGATCAAGCCAGGTTAGATCAAGCCAGGTTAGATCAAGCCAGGTTAGATCAAACCAGGTTAGATCAAGCCAAGCTAGATCAAGCCAAGCTAGATCAAACCAGGTTAGATCAAGCCAGGTTAGATCAAGCCAGGCTAGATCAGGCCAGACTAAACTTGATTCTAGACATGACCAGTACTTGATTCACTCACCCAAAAGCGCTGGACTCGGTAAACGATCCGGAACCCCGGACGTCAGCATGCGCACGTACTCGGTAAACATCAAACTCTTCGCGCGGATCGTGAGAGAGTCGAGGAACTGAAGGTTGGCTTTATTTCAAGTCACTTTTAACCTTTACTTTCTCAGCTTTAAAATTAGTATCTTTTTTTTTGCCAGAATCGACAATTTATATCGAAAATAAAGGGAAATTTAAGGCAAAAGAAAATACCAAAAAAAATTTGCGTATACGTTTCATGCGTTTCAAGATTTTGTTTCAAACATTTAAGAATTCAAAGATCGTTTTCGTCTCAAGTCTTGCGCGGATCATTTGATCATTCATTTCTTTATTGTTGTTTTTTTTGTTGTTGTTGTTTTTTTGTTATTTATGCATTATGTTTATGTATTTTTCTTAATTTTATTAAAAAAAATTCTTTATTTTAAAAACAATAGCGTCATCAAAATCAACTAACGATTTGTGAAAAAACGTTAGATCGAAAAATGATTGCAGAAATTGCAGAAAAAAAATGGTGAGGTGATTCAATGCGGGGAAATTGATTGGAATCATCCTTTTGCGTCATTGCACTTTTACGATGATTCAACGATATTCAACGATTCAACAAAGACATTTCTGCTTCTTGACGTCGAATAGGCTAAAAGCCAAAGCTCATTCCACGAAGAAAACGTCGAATTGTTCGAATTGAATTGTGAACAACATCTATAGAAAATCAAAGTCAACAAAGTCAAAGGTGAGAGTCGAACCAAAATGACGATTTGGCAATCGATGACGACAAGACAAAGACTATTTGGCAGATGGAAATCCAAAAATCGATTGTCAACTTCTCAATAAAGCAGCCAGCTTTAAAGCCAGAGCACAAATAGGCTTTGCCAAGGTGCACACACATGAATGACGCTTTTTCACTGATAAGTGTTGTTTATCTGTTTTTTTTCATTTTTCATTTATTTGTTTTCAACATATATTTTTGTTTTTATTGAATCTTCAGCGATGAGAAAAAGTTCACATGGATCTGTCGATGGATCGATGAAACTGACGGTTTTTCGCCATTATTGGAGGGATCTTAGACATCAACCGATCATTTTTTTGGCACATGAAACTAAGGAGGCAGCAATGTTATGATATGAACTGCGTTTACCGCTCAAGGAGCTAGAAACGATGCTTTCTTTATTGATTAATGGAAAATCTTGACCTTGGAAAGGATGACAAGGACGTCAACTACGACTCAGACGCGTCGATTGATTGAAACACTATTTAGATCTTCGACGACTGTTTGATGGCCTTGCAACACAAGATCCTGAGACTCCATACGGCTTCCAAAGAGGACAACACAACGATTGATGTCAGCTGTCTCACCAAGTCGTTCATGCTCTCCAGGGGAATTCACTCAAAAGAGAAGTTCACCAAGCTAAACCCGGTTAGATCAGTTTTTCACGCTGATTTCGAATCTGCACTCAAATCTACTCCATAGGGTCTCCGAAGCCGTAAAAACGCAGTTAGAGACCGTCAAGTGTGGGACCTTGTGGTATACTGGTAGTGCGCAGTGCTCTCACTATTTTCAATAGCTGGTTCAGATCAGGCTACAATCACTTTTGTTTTGCTAACAGCTTGCTACCGCCCGTTTTAAGTCAAGGTAGAGTGTTGACCATTTTTTTTTTCGTAATTTTCCCTGCATGAAATCAACATCGTTTTTTCGGCTTCAGAGGCTCGATGGGGTAAATTTGATTGCAGATTCGGAATCAGCTTGTAAAACTGAGCTAGATCTAGATGATCTAGATGGTCTAGATAGTCCAGATCATCTTGATTGTAATCCAGTGGTAGCTTGGTGAACCCTCTCTTGTCAGTCAACTGTCAACTCAGTTCAAGAAGATCGATCACCAGGTCACAATTCTATCGAAAATCTTTAGGGAATCATCGTCTGAAACGTCCGAGACGAGAATGAGACGTCTACAAGCACAATCAACAATATTCCGACGTTTCTGCCTGCCCTAAATGATTTTGAAGATGGGCAATTCAGGCCTGGAAAAGTCTCAACTCTTTTGCTATCTAAAGATCTCGAACGCTAAAATGTAGTCGCCTCAATGAAAACTCGCATTTAGCAAGTCATTTTAACCGTAATGAAAATCTGATCGATTAATTTGTTTACGTTATTGTTGTTATTTTAAGTTAAAATAGTTTTTTTTTTTTTGAAAATCAAAACTTCCAGTGAATTCGCGAGACTTTGAAACGATCTTGAATTCTTAAATAATTGAAATAAAATTTTTGACAGCATACACTAATCCTCTTTAGGTGTTTTTTCGGGGGTCTTAAAATATGCTCTTTCCCATGGAAAAGTCTTTCTAGTTGATAGCTCTTTTCCTTCTTCTTAAACACCATTTTTAAGCGGTCACCGGTAAACGGTCATGCTTGAAGCGGATTTTAGTGACGCCTAGAGCTCAAAATAAATCCCTGACTAATCCTAAGATTTGTTGATTTTGTTTAATTGAAAATCTAATGTGACATCCAGATTGATGGTTGAATGAAAAGTCGAACCTCAATCGTACACGGTTCCAGCTTGTTTACCGCCAATCGTCCATAGCTCAACGCGAACAGGGTTTCGGGATGCGATTGTTGTTGATTCACTGTGTCAACCTGAATAATGATTACAATAATAATCTGGATAATTTGGTTGAAATGAAATGAAATGAAATGAAATCGATAATCGATAATCCCAGCTGAAGGTATTCTCTTGTAAAGATTTACCTTTTGTTGTAACTCTCTGTGCACGTTCTGATACGGTCCAGGTTCCTTTTCACCACGAGCTAAAATTACAAAATCACAAAGAAAAGCTAAAACTATAGAATTATACAAAATGTAGTGCGCCAGAAGCTCTGTGCGTCTACAAATTTCTGTATATTTTTGAAAGTTAGAGTTAGCCCAAGCCCAGCCCTAAGCCCAGCCCCAGCCCTAAGCCCAGCCCCAACCCCAAGTCCAGCCCCCAATAATTTTCTAATCAAATGCCCAACTCACAAGCATTCGCACAAACTGCCAACATTGCATCGTCCTTCAAAGCGTCCGATTCACCGTGACGTTTAATGTAAGTCATTTGCTCGAGTAGGGTCTCGTGTTGTGGAGGAGTGAAACCCTGAAAATATCATTTTATTTAAAAAGCAGCCGAAAAGCATTCGAAAAGCACAGCAAAAGCAAAATGGCATTTCGTTTAGCATAGCTTTTTTATTAGACAAAAAGAAACCGGCATCTTTGAGATTTTTTTAAGCCATTTTTTAGTGACTCAAATGTGAATCAAAAACAGACAGACGGACGGACGGACAAACAGACGGACGTAGGACAGACAGACGGACGTAGGACAGACAGACAGACAGACAGACGAACAGACAGACAGACGAACAGACAAACAGACAGACTACAGTAATGCCAAGCACTTCCGTATTTCGAAGTTTGCAGTATGCTCACGGTTTGTGTACTGCAACTACTTTACTTGCTCAGCTTGATATGCAGAAAATGCTGGTTTATTTACCCAACTTTCTCTACTCAAGATTTTCCACTTTAAACACTAGATTTTAAAAGCAAAAAAAAAACGCACCTAAATACTAATAAATAATATGCATAAATCCCAATAAAAAAAAAAAAAAAATTCAAAAAAAAAAAAATTCAAAAAAAGAATCCCTCTCTGCCCTCCAAATAGATCCACAAACAAGCGGGCGCAAGAAAGCGAACCATTTTCGAGGGATGATCCGATGAGGCCAAAATGTTCTCTTTTACCGCACCATAACAAGCCTGTAATCAAATCGTCAAAATCCGTCGGTACCGATAATCGGGGTTTCAAAATTTCTCATCTCTTTACCTCATGCAACTCTCTGAATTCATCAATCCATGTCTTGATTTCATCGATCCATGTCTTGTAGGTAGGTAAAATGCCGACAAGTTGCAACAAAAGCCATATCAATTCATCGCGACCCTTTCTAAAAAAAAAAAAAAAAAACAGAAAAAATTCTTCTTTTACTCAAAATTTTGTCATTATTGCCTTGTTTGTTTGTTTTTTTATTTTTTTTTTCTCATCTCTACAAAAACCTTTAAAGCTTTAAAAGCAAAAGCTTTAAAAAAAAAAAAAAAAACCAATTTTCCATTGAATATCTTTTTTCTAATCGTTAATGGTTATTTTTCATCTTTAAAAGATACTCAGCTAATGATCGGATTATTGTAGGCTAAAAAAAAAATCCATCAAAATAACCAACCTATAGCCAGATTTGCGAATCGCTTCCGTGAGAATGGTCAAAAATTTCGGAATGCTTCTAAAGAGAAAATTTGTTCGAATTTTATCGTCAAAACTTCGCGAGATTTCGCTTTTCATTCTCAATTTTCACAAAACTCACATTTGCTGATTGAAGAATTCGGTGATGAAAATCGAGCATATGTTTTCCCATTGATATCGGGGAATCTCAGCGTCTGGTGGCAGAGTCTGAAACGGATTCTTGTAGCTGAGGAGTCACTGAAGCTGAAGCTTTTCGAGTATCCTTGGCCACTACAGTCCTCTACAAATTACAGTAAGCCTAGTGCTGGAGCTGAAGCTGAAGCTTTTCGAGTATCCTTGGCCACTACAGTCCTCTACAAATTACAGTAAGCCTGGTACTGAAGCTAAAAAAGTGACTCGGTTTTGGTGGCTTTTTCGGAAAACTGCCTTTTAAAAGCACGTGTGGCTTTAAAATGGGAAATTTCGGGCCAGCATCACGCTGCCCCATGGCGCAATGGGTTGCGCGCTCGCCTGCCAGCCATTTCTCTAAGGAAGTTCCCGTTGGTTCGAGTCCCCCAGCCGGCAAAGATGTTCTTTTTTTGCTTAAAACCTCTTTTTGTTTGATGTGGGCACACTCTAAAGCACATAAAGTTGCCATGATTTGCTCTAAAGCAATTCTAGTTGCCATGATTTGCTCTAAACTCTAAAAGTATCGGTTTACCGGTAGTCGTTTAGATAAAGTAAACAATTCCATATTCCATATCCACTTTCACACATTCACAACAATCTCACCGACCATTTGGCCGTACTAATACGATCGATTTTTTTGATGTCAACATCACTTTTAAGGCTTTCTTCTTTGTTTCGCCGAAAGTTCTCGATACCTTTTGTACTAGTTTTGAAGGGGAGATTTGCGGTTATCAAATGCCTTTCAGAGTTTAGCTTATCTCTGAATTTTCATCAATTTTATCAATAAAATAGGTGACAACTACGCGACTGTACGCCTCAAAATATACCCGCTTTCGCAATAACCAAAAAAAATTCCCTTAACTAACCTCAACTTCGGCTAATGTTTCCAGCACTAAGTAGGCGATGATTGCTGTCAAATCGGTGCGTGATGTCTGCGGGCGAAGGCATTGCTAAAAAAGGTATAAAATTTCGAGTTTTAACAAAAAAAAAAAAAAAAAAACTAAAGTCATTTAGTGAAGTGAGAATCGAGTAGCCCGTTTTCTAGGTAGTTTATGATTTTTTAAAGATAATAAATTGAATTCTGATCATTTCCGATAGTTCGACTTTCTCCACATCCACATCCGATATAGTTCGACTCTCTTTTTAAACTCACCATCAAGTAATCCTTGTTGCCACGGGGTTGCTTTCGAATCGCGTAAATCGTGTAGGATTGTGGCTCGGAGAGCTCGATTCGATAGGGGAGGACAGCTCTGAAAAATTTGAGGATATTGTAAGTCGTACTGTACACTTAGAATACGCTAATAGTTACAGGTAATAAGCAGTAAACCCACCGTAACGCAATGTGATTATCGTTTCCGTTGATTTTCCACGCAGTTGCACTCACTGAGAACATCGGATGACCGGGCAACGGAAAGAGGAAAGATCTAAAGAAGAGGTTTTGATTGAGCTACGGTAACCTGGCTACGGTAACCTGGCTACGGTAAGCTGGCTACCGTAACCTGGCTACCGTAAGCTCGTTACCGTAAGCTGGCTACCGTAAGCTGGCTACCGTAAGCTGGCTACCGTAACCTGGCTCAGGCTCAGAGTGCTTTAGACCTTTTGAAATATAGCTAAGTTTATTAAAAAAAATTTCGAAAGAATTGATGGGTTGATTTTTGTGAAATCATTGTGCAAACTTTTTCCACAAACTTTCTTGTCAACCTAATAGATCAACAGTTGTAAATTAAAGGCCTTCTAAAGGTTCATCTATTTAGTATACCGTATTTTCTCCAATACTAGTGCACCCCGGCCGAGCCAAGGAGTTGGTGCCGAGTTGGTCTTTTACAGTTTCCAAGCTTTTGCACAGAAGCTCAACCCTCTAGTCCCCCCATAAGATCTCATCGTCAACTACGTCAGCTACATTTTCCGACCCCCACATCGATAGGTTTTGTTCTGATAAGCGATTCTCGAGATTTCGACCAATTTAGGCGAACGCTCAGGGTGCACACTACTATTAGAGAAACAACGGTATTGTAACATATTCCTCACCTTCCCGTGATCTGCGTCAATTCGGCAACCGGTCGATAGCTGTTCTCGAAGTAGGTGGCCGCGCTGGCGAGTCGCTGAAAGAATTTCGAAAGTTTTACCTTTTCATTACCACCTCCTTTTCAAGCCACCAAACTAAATTCCAGAGTTTTATCAGAAATCTCACAATAATTAGCGATACTGTAAATATCTCGATTTTCACTATGCCAAAAATTGTTAAAAAATTGTCAAAACTTGTGCAAAACATGGTTCTTTTGAAAAACATCGTTCCCATGTTGACCAACTGGGTTACCACATTTGGCTAAGATGTCACAGGGCCAGGGTACGATCTCAGTTATCGAAAATGAGACTTACAGTTTCCTTGAAACCCTTTTTTGCATAAGTTTTGCCATGAAATGTTAATTTTAAGGCTAAAATGCCAGAATGCTAAAATGCTAGAAAATGCTAGAAAATGCTAGAAAATGCTAGAATGCTAAAAAATCACTCACGGGAAACATGAAAACTTTCGTCGCATCCTTTTGCAACTCTGTAACAACGAAGAGCGACGGGATGAGATTCGATTTTCGATCCATGATGTAAAGCATCAACTGTAAAACGAATCACATTTTGTGTACTTTGTGCATCAAACTCATAAAACACACTTTATCTGGTGCATATGCTAGCTTAGCAACTTAACAAACCTCTTCGATGGGTAGCATCGATTTTCGTTGAGCCGCCGACAAAACCATTGGCAGTTTCGAGAACGATTTGACGATTCGACTGAACAACGATCGGACTCCTTTGTAATCGATGCGGCGAAGGTTTTCCTGGAAAAGTTATAAAAATCTCAAATGTCAAAATCGATAAGTACTGTAGCTATGTCACGCATTAAAACTGAAACACTTCTCGAGTATTTTCTAAAAGTTGCCTTTCCTCGAAAAACTCCCGTAATCAAGATACCAAAATAAGCTTTAGCGCCTCAATGGCTTGAACTTAAAGACGCCAAGAATATGACAGTTTTTTCTTGAAGGGTACCGTATAGGAAACAAGACTATAGTAGCCTGCCTTGACTAGTATAGTAGCCTGACTAGTATAGTAACCTACTTGACTAGTTTACTAGCCTACTTGTCTCGTTTAGTAGCCTACTTGCCTAGTTTAGTAGCCTACTTGCCTAGTTTAGTAGCCTGACTAGTATAGTAACCTACTTGTCTTACTGTACCAAAAAAAGTCTCCTAATTTAGTTAGCTTTGTGCTTAGAAAGGTAATAAAATTCGTAAACTAGGTTACCTTTATGTATCGAAACTTTTCCCCATCAAGCTTTGTCTTAAGCGTGAAATCGGCGGTCAACGCGAGTCCCTCGAGGCACATACTGTAAATTGAAAGAATTTACGATTAGTTATCAAGTTTTAAGAAAAGTTCTAAAGTGTTCAGACTACGCGTAACTGAGTACAATAATCCTTCGAATCCTATACACTAGGCAGCTATCGTTTATCGTAATGAAGTCTTCTTTCATGAATGAGCTTCTAGCTTTACTGTAGCTATGTGAAAACTCGAAAATCGAATACTGCAACTATGCCACTAAAATTGGGTCTAGAAAAAGGCTACAGCTATCGTAGCTGTAGAAAAGCTGTAAAATCGACGACTTTATATTTAATGGAAAGGGCTACTGCAGGTTGGTAGGTCATAAAAAAATCTAAAAATACCCACTTTGGACTGATATCTCCTCGCTGGCAAGCTGTCTTGAAGATTTTGTCGATCAACATCTGAAAAAAAAAAAATCCATTTTTGAAAAAAGCATTTGAATCAAATCCCAACCATTTAAATCGTTAAACAAAAACTTTTTTTTCAAAAATCAAAATCGACTTTTTTTTCCTCAATAAATTTACGATACCTCGGTCTCCATTTTCCGTGCCGATTTCTCCTGTTGCACGATTTGAATCATCTCATTGACGGCCGAGTATTTCTCCTCCTGGAATCAATTTTTGTTTTCAACTCCTGTATTAGACGTTTCCTAAAATTCCTAAAAAGCTACCGCATCTTGTATGGCTTTCGTATCTGAGTGCTTTAAGTGCCTTTTCGAAAATGGGTTAACCTAGAGAATAACTAACTAAATAACTAACTAGATAACTAACTAACTAACTAACTAAATAACTAAATAACTAACTAACTAAACTAACTAAATAACTAACTAACTAAATAACTAACTAAATAACTAACTAAATAACTAACTAACTAACTAACTAAATAACTACCAAACTAACTAACTAACTATAACTATAAGTGGTACTTTAACCAATACAGTAGTAAAGCCATAACCGATTAATATTGTAACACAGCTCATTCTAAAGGCTAGCACAGGCTACCGTAACCCGGGAGTGCTATAGGATGCTGTAGGAGTCTAAAGAGTCCCCAAAGTTGTACTGTGCCGTCTAAAATAGCTTAAAGATACTCAGGTATTGTAAACTCTATCAATAGCTCAATTCTATAACTCAATTCACTCACTTTCGCCATTTTCCCGAGAATCTCACAAACGGTGTTTATCAGATACTCATCATTCTCCGGTCGATCGCTGCTCAAATCCCAAAAGAGCATCTTCAAATCGGAATGACCCTGAAAATTGTTGGATTCAAGCTAAAACACTCAGGCAATTTTGATCTAACTTTGTCATAGCTATCAAATTTACTGACAAATCACTCAATTTCTCTGAAAATTTAACTAATTCAAAACTTTTATTTATCTATTCGATTTTCTTTAAATCACAAAAAGGCTCTAAAAGTCTCAACCTTTCGTTTACAAGAGCTGTAAACTCATCAATTTCTTTTCTTAAACTCACAAAATGGTGTGCAATCAGTGCTCTTATCCGATTCATCGGCTCTCTGATGCTGTCTTGCGCCTTCTCGCGTTGCTGATAAATCTGTTCAAATGCATTTTTTCACAAAAACAATCAACTTACATCAGATTTTAGTCTATTTGCCATTGTAAACGAATAAAAAAATCCTATTATTTGCAAAATTTTTCTTCAAAAAACGCCACGAAATCCTTGCGCAAGCAAAAAGCTAATGAAAAATCAGATTCTTTTAAAGATAATAGTTGCTTTGATTCAGCAACTAAAACCGTTTTTGAAGAAATTCCGTTAATAATTTAGAATTCGGTACTATTGACTTTGGGGGATCCACTTTTTTTTTCGCCAAAATCCCTTTTCCCGGGGTAATTTAGTACGCTGAGCACGAATATGACATTTTTAGAGTAGATTTCTAATAAAAAAAAAGGTAATTTTTAGAATTTAAAAAATTTTCAGCATTTTATCGACGGGTTCTTTTCCAAATTCTTGACACCATATAAATTCCTGATGGAAATCTGTATAGCGGTCATTTAATCGGCAGTTGAGGCCATGGCATCGCTTAATTATTTTGATGTAATTAACTTTTGATGCAATAACACTATAGTGCAATAAACAACCATCAAAATCCTCGTCGGGTTCTAGTAATTTCTCAGAGAGCTCCAATAGTTTCATTTCGCTCAACACTTGTATTGCCTGTGCTGCCATTTTGTCGAAAAGAATGATACAGCGGTATGTTTTTCAGTTAACTGAGTTAGTTTACCTGTCAATTCTTGAAAAGTAAACCAAAAATTGCATGAAAACCCGTAAATTTAATATTTAAAAGAGGAAATTTGCAGTTAAAATGCTCAAAATTCTAAAAATTGCGTTTTATTAAAAATCTACTCTGTCAGCTCCGAGCCAAACTGATATTTTAGTTACCATTGTTATTATTGAATGATTTAACTTAACCCAAATTCTAGTCCACATCCGTTTATACCTAGGAACGTCTAACTCTAAAAATGTCATCTTCGTGCTCAGCGTACTCCATTGCCCCAGGAAAAGTGTTTTTGGCGAAAAAAAGTAGCCCTCCCAAAGCCAATAGTACCAATAAGTCCCTTAATACGTTTTCAGTCTTTTACATAAAAAAAACTGTAGATTTTTGGCAAAATTTCCCTCTTTGGCAAAGTAGGGAAGGATTTTAAAGCGATATTTTACATTTAAGCTAAAAATTGGCTTAACTTTTAAATTTCCCAAGTATTTTTCATTCTAATATGGAAACTTTCTCAAAAACATTTCAACTTTAGCTTTTCATCTCTAATTTAGCTTTTCATCTTAACTTTAGCTTTTCATTTCAACTTTAGCTTCTCATCTCAACTTTAGCTTTTCATCTCTAATTTAGCTTCTCATCTTTCTAAAAAGCCTGAACACTATCAAATAGTTTCGATTTCAAAATTTTAAATATCATTTCATCATTTTTCCAACCTCCTACCTTGCCGAAAAGGGGAATTTTCTCAAAAACCACACTCACTTGCGCATTTTGCTGCTCGGCTTCGGTGGTGGTTGCCATTTCTTCTTCTTCCCTCGTTCAATTCATCGATTTGCTCAATCTAAATTTATTGTTTTATTTCAATCACATATCAAAACGATAAAATACGGAAATGAAACGCGTGAAATGGTTGAGAAATTTCGCGAAAAACAACAACAATAAATTAAAGAATTACGTAAAAAAAAGAATGAGAAATAACGACGCAAATGCGTGACATAAATATAAGATAGGGGTTTTTGAAAAAATTTGACGGAAAAGTTGACAAATTTTAGTATTTGAAGCTTTTTGGGTTTTTAAAATAAGCAATTTTGACTAAAAAAAGTGACTAAAAGTTGGCATCCACCAAGTTTTTCACTAAACTTTCCAAAAAACAAGCGTCATTTTTGGCTAAAAGATCGATTGCTATCTTTTAGGCCAAAATGGGCCAAAATAGGCCAAAATGGAAGGAATTTCGTAGAAACCTAAAAGGATTTCGTGATCAAAACATCAAAAAACTTATCATTTACCAACTTTTTCACCAAATCTCCCAACAAATATAGGTTATTTTTGCTTAAAAACGCCTTGCCAAGAATTTTCCGTCAAATTTCTCCCAAACGCATCGATAACAAAAGAGATCACGAGAAAAACAAGATAAACTCTAAGCTTAAGCAAGCAAATTTATGCATCATCTGGCGGGATCCATAGGTTTAACTTGGTGCACGCGGTAGCCATGATGAAGAACCGCGGATTGAAGGCGACTTGTTGAATCAAACCGGTGTGATCCGTTTGTATGTCCGCGTTCTTCTGCCCGCTTTCCACGTTCCACGCATTGACGATCCCGTTCGAACTGCCGCAGAGCACGAATTGCGAATCCGGGGTGAATGCGGCCTCCAATGGTTGCCGACGAGCATTCACGTGCCCGCGGAGCACGTGTTTTTGTGTACCAGTGAACGCGTCGATCACTCGCATCACCTCTCCATCCGTTGTAATCAAAATGTGCTTTCCATCCGGCGAGAATTTCATCCCGGTCCAATCGCAGTTCGGCTCTTGCTCCAGTTGCCATGTCATAAAGGGCCCTTTGTCGAAGGAGCGCAAATCGTACAGCTTCACACTTTGACTGTTCACACCGGCTCCGAAAATCAGCCCATCTGGATCGAAAGCCGCCACGGCGCGACTGGTGACTTGCATGACTCCTTGGCAATTCGGCGACTTCAAATCCCAGAGTCGAATCGTTTTATCCTCGCTGCCACTGAGGAACATATCGTCTTGCGGTGACATGCAAAGCGTCAACACTTTTTTCGTGTGTCCCGGGAAATATCGAATGTACTTGTTGTCGTGAAGCGATAAATAGCGAATCGTGTCATCAACCTTTGTCGAGCAATGGATGCCGGTGTTGTGATTGTGCGTGAAACGGATTAGATCAACCCCGTATTTTTTTGAGTTCACCGCCCTCGTTTTCGTGCCCAAATTGCAATTGTACATGACGATCGAGTCGTCATCGCTCGACGTGATCATCGTTTGGCCGTCGGCGGTGAAATCGATCGAGTTGATGCGCTGCTCGTTTTCGCTGAATGATTTCACCATCACCATTCGGGAGACCAAATCCGCTGTCAGTTTCACCGTGCCGGCTGTTGCTGGAGTCGCATTTTGCACAGGCGCCGCCATCGCTGGACCTAGAAATGGAAAAAGTTAGCGTTTTTTAGAAAAAAAGCGATAAGAAAACAAGAAAACATTGAGAAATTGAAGAAATCATGTGTAAAATGATAAAAATAAAGTTCGGGAAGGGGATCTGATTTGGTTAGATCGAAGATTTAGGATCGCTAATTGCTCGAATTTGCTCAGATCCTATTTTTCGATCGTTTTACCAATGTTATTTCATTTTTCTAGCCTAATCAACCATGCTGAATCTATTGGTGATGTTTTTAGAAAGCGTAAACATTGCATAAACAGTGACCGTTTTGTTTTGACCAACGTTTGTCAATGTTTTGTTGAGCTAGCTGTTAACAATTGCATTTTTATGTGCAATGCCGTTGTGCTGTTGCGCTGTTGCAATGCCGCAACGCTAGAAAAAAAGGCTAGGGTTGAAATCTAAAGTAAAAACCTTTCCGCAACGCTAGGAAAAGAGGCTAGGGTTGAAATCTAAAGCAAAAACCTTTCCAAAACACTCTAAAAATATCACCAATAGATTAAACGTCTTCGATTATTTGAAAATGCAAAAGCGGACTAGAAAAAACACTCGTAAACAAGCGTAAAATAGGTTCTGGCCGGGTCAGACCTCCCCACGAACTTTATTAGTGTCAAACTTTTACAAAAACCGTTAAGAAAACAAGAAAACATTGAGAAATTGAAGAAAACATGTGTAATTTCGTTTTAAAACCTTACAAAATGCAATGTGATAAATTTTTTGGCCAAAAATCTTCTAGCTTAATCTATAGAAATCAGGAACCTATAGAAAAACCTATAGAAAAACCTATAGAAAAACCTATAGAGAAACCTATAGAAAAACCTATAGAGAAACCTATAGAAGAATCTATAGCAAAAACCTATACAAATTTCGAAAAAGCACAGAATTTGTTAAGAAAATCGACTCATTTCTATATTTACATGTTCTTAAATCTCTTTGGTTCTTAAATTCGGGAAAACTTAAAAGAAAAACATTAAGATTAAGATTTAAAAGATAAAAATTAAGATTTGAAGGGGGTAGGACCAATGCGACCTTTTTTTGCGCACCTGGACATTTGCGCACCTTTTTTTTTGCTGGAAAAGGCCTTAGAGCTTCGAAAATATTTCCATATAAGGGAATCGTATGCGTAGATTCCGAATTTCGACAAATCAGACCTCGCTGACACGTCAAATTTGGGCTAAAAGGCAAAAACTGCGGAAAAGCGTTAAGTTGCGTAGTTTTTGCCTTTTAGCCCAAATTTGACGTGTCAGCGATGTTTGATTTGTCGAAATTCGGAATCTACGCATACGATTCCCTTCTAGGAAAACATTTTCGAAGCTCTACGACCTTTCCTAAGGCCTTTTCCAGCAAAAAAAAGGTGCGCAAATGTCCAGGTGCGCAAAAAAAAGGTCGCATTTGTCCCACCCCCGATTTGAAAGATAAAAATTAGATTTAAAAGGCTAAAATTAGATTTAAAAGACTAAAATTAGATTTAAAAGGTAAAAATTAGATTTAAAAGACTAAAATTAAGATTTGCTCATCGAAAAACCGTAGAAACTTGCGAAAATGGCAAAAAAAGCCGTCAGATTTTAAATAAAAAATTTTAACTTCAAATTTTATACAATTTCAATCAAAAAAAAATCGATATCGTTTTCATTTTTCATCATAAATCAAGGAAATGTCACGATTTCAAGCGAAAAAAGCTCAAAATTTGCTGTCAAAATCGTTTTAACCCTCGAAAAGGACAATTTTTGATGAAAAATAGGAAAAAGTTTAGGAAATCGAACGATTTTAAGAACGATTTAAGGATAAAATTGAAGCATAAAATGGAAAAATTGGGGAAATTTGAGGGAAATGTTGATGAATGAGTAAAATTGAGGTTTTGCGCAGAAGAAAATTCAGAAAGCGACCAAAAGAAAATTCAGAAAGTCTCCAAAAATCGGGAGTGGGACAAGTGCGACCTTTTTGTTTGCGCACCCGGACACTTGCGCACCTTTTTTCCCGCACTTAGCCCATTAGCGCACCTTTTTTTCGCGTTTTAAAGCTAATATTAAGCTCTAAAAGCTCTAAAAGCTCTAAAAGGCTAATATTAACCAATTTCTTTGGTTAATAACCAATTTCTATTCCAAAAGTTGTTTTTCTAGGTAATTTGAGGGCGTAGAATCGAAATTTTGACATATCAGAGCTTGTGGAACCAATTTGAAAGACAAATTTGAAAGACAAAGCAGCTAGGTCAAATTACAGAAAATTGTTGATTTTTCTCTTTGTATAACTCGGTCCGTTCGCTTTCACAAGCTCTGATATGTCAAAATTTCGATTCTACGCCCTAAAATTACCTAGAAAAACAACTTTTGGAATAGAAATTGGTTAATATTAGCCTTTTAGAGCTTTTAGAGCTTTTAGAGCTTAATATTAGCTTTAAACCCGCGAAAAAAGGTGCGCTAATGGGCTAGGTGCGGCAAAAAAAGTGCGCAAACCGTATTGGAACTGTATTGGAACTGTATTGGAACCGTATTAGATCAAAATAGGAACCGTATTGGAACTGCAAAAAAAGGTCGTATTTGTCCCACTCCCCATTTTGCTTTCTTTTGCTGAAATTTTATCGTTTTCTTGTTCTTTTTTTTTCAATTTTAAACTGTTAAAACGAAATATTTCTTGAAATTTTTCCTTTTTAGGCATGCTGGGTGGGAAAAAAAAGCACTCAACAAGGGATCTGACGGCCAAAAATTCGGTGAGCTTTGTTAGAATTTGAGCGATAAGTGCTGAAAATGGTGTTTTTTTTTACTTGCAAAATAGTCAGCTTTTAGGCAAATCGAGTCACCGCGTGTATTTTCGCTTAAAAATAGCGTAGTCTTGCTACAGATTCGCAGCTTTTAGGTTCTGAGCGGGAAATTAGCGCGTTTTGACTCAAAAACGATAAAATTCTACCCCAAAAACGTGCTATTTTTGAGCAAATTGCGTCTCTAGCGCGTGTTTTAGCTTGTTTTAGCTTGAAAACAGCAAAATCTTGCTTAATTCAGTGCGGGAAAAAAAGGTGCGCAAATGTCCGGGTGCGCAAATGTCTGGGTGCGCAAAAAAAAGGTGCGCAAATGTCCCGCTCCCGATGAATGAGTAAAATTGAGGTTTTGCGCAAAAAAAAATTCAGAAACTCGCCAAAAACCTCGAAAATTACTCAAAACAAACAAATTTATAAGGAAATTTAAAAGCTTCAAAAGATATTCAGCTGAGTTGACTGAATATCTTTTAAGTTGAACTGAATGTCCAAAAAGCTGCAAAAAGATATTCAATCAACCCAGCTGAATATCATTAAAAACCGGCTTTAATCCCAGACATCTATTCAAATCTCGGTAATTTTGATTCAAAAGATATTCAATTAAAGAATTGAGTATTCAAAATTAAATCTGAAATTCTTTGAATTTGTCGAATTTCTTTTCGATTGAATATCTTTTGAAATAGAAAATAAAAAACTTTTTTAAACATTCGAATCGGCTAAATTGGAGCTCACAGCTTGCGAAAAGTTTGCAAAAAGCTTGCAAAGAAAGAAGAAAAAAAGATTTCCCCACCTACGCGCGGCTCCGCTTTTTGCCGATCACAATCGGCGCGTTTTTGTCTTTTCAGAATTTTAGTGTGTGTTCCAATTCCTTCAAAAATCTTATCAGTTTCAAATTCTTTCAAGGAAAAATCCAATTTCTCGCCTCGATCAATGCCCAAATGAATCAATACGCGCAAAATCAATCGCGACCGCTATCGATTCTGCAATTCACGATCGCAGATGTGCTATTCGAGAATCGGTATGTTTAGATTTGATATTAGGTTTTGAGAAGCTTGAGAAGCTTGAGAAGCTTGAGGAGCTTGAGGAGCTTGAGGAGCTTGAGAAGGTTGAGAAGGTTGAGAAGCTTGAGAAGGTTGAGAAGGTTGAGAAGATTGAGAAAATTGAGATTTCTTTAGAATTCTCACATTTGATTTACGCTTGGAGTCACCGATCAGCCAAATTGGATCAAGTTTTCATAAAGTTTGTGCTATTTTTTTAAAAGCTGTACTTTGTGCTGTGCTTGTGCTGTACTTGTGCTGTTCTTTGTGCTGTGCTTGTGCCCCAGGAGAAGCTGCTGTGCTTGTGCCCCAGAAGAACCTGCTGTGCTTGTCCCCTGCTTGTTCCCTGCTTGTGCCTTGCTTGTCCCCTGCTTGTGCCTTGCTTGTCCCCTGCTTGTGCCTTGCTTGTTCCCTGCTTGTCCCCTGCTTGTGCCCTGCTTATCCCCTGCTTGTGCCCTGCTTGTACCCTGTTTGTGCCCTGCTTGTGCGTGCCCTGCTTGTACCCTGCTTGTCCCCTGCTTGTGCCCTGTTGTCCCCTTCTTGTCCCCTGCTTGTCCCCTGCTTGTACCCCAGGAAAACCTACCGTAAACCATTCTGTCTGTCTTTTCTTAAAGCTTTTAAACGAATTAGCTTACGGTATCAACGAAATTTTCGTCTCATTCGATCAAGAATCATTTGGCATACTGTAACTTTTAAGCTTTCACTCGAATTACTCGAACTTTGAGTTAAACTCCTGTCCCAAAAGTCTGACCAAAAATTCCATGAACAACAAATTTTGTTTAGAGCACTTTCTGGCTTTCCTCTCCCGCCGATACCGAAGCATTTTTCGTCTCGGAAATCGGTGGCGACCTTGAGCATCACATTCGACAATTGTGCCAACCGGATCCGAATCGGTGAGTGAAATTTGGAGGAATTGGGTTGGAGAAGGCTCAGAACAAACCAGGGACAGGCTTAGGCTAGGTATTAGTTCAAAGTACCATATCCAGAGCTAGATCCAGAGCTAGATCCAGATTCAGACCCAGATCCAAATTCAGATTCGAACCCACATTCAGACCCAGCTCCAGATCCAGATCCAGGTTTGGACCCAGATGTAGGTCCCCCGGAACCTTTGGATTCAGGCCAGAAGTCAGTCCAGTACTTGGCTATGGGCTTGAACTTAGATCTGGTATCTTGTCTAGCCTAGTATCTGGTC